ACAGGTTCTGCTGTACATAATCATATACAAGTCCTGCCGTACATAATCATATACAGGTTCCTGTACATAATCATATACAGGTCCTGCTGTACATAATCATATACAAGTCCTGCTGTACATAATCATATACAGGTTCTGCTGTACATAATCATATACAAGTCCTGCTGTACATAATCATATACAGGTTCCTGTACATAATCATATACAAGTCCTGCTGTACATAATCATATACAGGTTCTGCTGTACATAATCATATACAGGTTCTGCTGTACATAATCATATACAAGTCCTGCTGTGCATAATCATATACAAGTTCTGCTGTGCATAATCATATACAAGTCCTGCTGTACATAATCATATACAGGTTCCTGTACATAATCATATACATGTTTTGCTGTACATAATCACATACAGGTTCCTGTACATAATCATATACAAGTCCTGCTGTACATAACCACACACAGAATCTACTGTACATAATCATATACAGGTTCTGCTGTACATATTATATACAAGTCCTGCTGTACCTAATTGCATACAGGTTCCTGTACATAATCACATACAGGCTCTGCCGTACATAATCAAAGGTTCTACAGTACATTGTGTTACAATTGCCAAAAATATCAATAAACTATAATACATTGCATCATATACAGTATATATATATTGGAAGCCTGTCAGATTATTGAAGTACAGATTTTCTGAACAGAATAAGCCAGACATTTTTCTATCTTTAGGCACCACTATGTCGATGAATAATTAAATTCATTAGTTCTTGATTTGGGAATTGTATCTTTTTGAATATGACTAACGTCACTGAAACGGAAGAGAGTGATTGAAGTATTCATGATATTGCAAGCCTATAGCTTGTAACATACAGATCCTTTTTAATGAATGAATTTGAGCCCACGGCAATGACAATAAACTTATTAATTTACACTGATGAAGCACAGTTAATCATGTAAAATAGAAACATTTATCATACATGATCTGTCATATGTGAAACAGTGAGTTGATATCTCTATGAATCACACGTCCTTAAAGGTGTATTATCATAGCTGGGAGTATAGTATAGTACATATATACATACATCACTGCTATTCATTGAGATACATTTCCACTGACCACACAGCTGATAAACCTGATTATCAACAAAGTTAATACACTTCTACTTTCAAAATCTTATAATTTTACTATCTGAATATGAGAAGACCCTAAAAATGAACAATACCTAAGTTACCATATATACAGCACTGCAGATATATTATGCATGAATATACTTAAATAAAGTCCAAAATATTTCCCTTATATTCACATTCATTAGAAAGCTTTGGTACAATGGCAGGAAATTCACCATCTCTAAAGTTTGACAAAGCAATTTACTTAAGAATCTCATTCAGATTTGGTTCTAGGGAGGAAGTGCTTCATTAGATAGTGAGAGTATGGATTAGCAGTGCTAAAAATAAACCTGAAGCAAGCAGAGGAATGTTGTTAGATGCTCAAAATCTATTTTTACATCAAACACCAGATAAGTTTTACATAGGGAAACAGATGTTATCCTACAAGGAATAAAGGAAACTGGTGGGGCTTGTAATCAAGGCCAGTATTGTCCACACCATGGCGGCATTACATACACATAATAAGGCCATCAAAAGTCACCAAAGGCAATTCTCATCAATACCACAATGTACAGGATAATGGCAATCAATGAGGTGGAGGTCCTTCTAGGCACATTCCTGCCAGAAACCTCCGCTAACTTACAATCCATTACAGGTACATAATAATTACTGTGTATGCATCATATCCATTCATAACAGTTATTCTCTGTAAAATGGCTCCCTCGGGAAATTAAAATGATGACTTAACAGATACCGTGATATACCTGTTCTCGATATGCTTGATAAAATTTGTATTGATGGATAAATCCATTTAGTGGTGCTGCTATTTCAGAAAATTCTATAATCAATAATGAATCAGATACTTGTATTAATTTGAACTTTGTCAGTTTAACGCATATAGCTACACATATAATCATACATATTTAGATATTTTTTTGTAAGTAATAATTTTGTAGGGTATTAATTTCAAGGGAGAAATTTGTACATATATACATCTAGAATGAACTCTTCTGTCACTAGAGAACATGATCATGAATAAACCATATATATCCTGCAATATATACACCCAGGGGGACAAAATTAGCTCTGACTCCGAGTCACCAGTGGGCTTATTACAGGACAATGAAACACCATTAACAACATTAGTGTTACTCAACAGCTTTAAATATATGTGTGGGCTTATTACAAGGCCTGAACTGTGACACATGTTTGCTTATTGTAGTTTTAAGTCATATAACAGCCAGAGTCATTTAAGAATGTACCTGGTTTCAAATATATTGCAATTTGATTTAAGTTTGACCAAATAAGAACAACTTTTTGCGTCCTTCTTTTTCCTGAGCATAACTAATATATATATTATATATATCTTTGATAAGTGAAGTAATGGAACAAACTGCAACAGTTAAAAATCATATAATAATCATTATCATTTTGTGTAAGAGAAAGAAATGTGTATTGTATCTCATCCATATTTTAAATTCAAGTAATCACACTTTGTGCATTCTTCAACTTTCAAAATCATACCTTGTCTTCAGTAATATAATAACACAGAGTTTATTTCCCTGTGACTTTAATTAGCTACTGGGTGTTTATCTCCAAACTGTTCTGGATATTCAATCATGTGTACATTACTGTTAGGGTATCACATAAATAAGTGCTTAAAATCGCCCCATGTCAGAGTTGAATTAAATTTTGTTGCAGAAGCCTGGTCATGAACTAGACTCTCCTTAAAAATCTGAGGTCTACATTTGCTCAAAAGACTTTTGAATAGTGGAGTTTGAGTTATTAGAATAAATGTAACAGTGATTTTTGGGACTCAGATATTTGAGTCCTGGACTCCTGCTTTTATTGTGGGACTCACTCGAATTTTAAGAAAACACTGTTTCTCTAAGTATTTTGGAATTGGGTGTTCTGGACTCACTAAACCTTCAAAAATCACTGTGTGAAATATTGAGATATTTGTTGCTAGTTGAGAAACAAGGGAATAACATACAATATTTGCATAAGTGGATACTTTCTATGTTACCTATATCATGTATAATGATTTTGTGAATGAGTCTTCACTAGATTCAAAAGACCTTTTGATAGCGATTTCAAACATGTTACACCTGGTAATCAGCTGAGGTATTACAATTTGTATTATGATGAAGGTACATGACCAAGATTATGTACTTTGGACCTGACCAAGCTGCTTGTCTTGCAGGATTTATGGGGTGCTGAAGCCACAAGATCTCCATGTACAGATGTAGTCTCTAGATCTCCAGGAGTGAATAGGAACCAATCAATAGGGCCACAATCAATATAGCTAGCACACAGAGGTAACCACCACTAGGCTCCTATTTCACCAGATGCTACCAATCATATACCCTTCCATAACTCACCAGTCAAATAGCACACAGCAATTAATAAAACTGAATCCTTTAAATCAATGTATTATATGACAGTAATTATCAAATCATTAATTCAATCATTAACTAAGGGAAAAAGACTGACAGATATTTTCAAAGAGGGTCTCATTGGATAAATCAATTTCCAAATTTTTCCAGTACTGTTGTAACATCTGTAGATGGTACTTCACATAGTGATTCTCCACATGCATACATTGTGCATCAATAATTCATGGTACATCTACTGCCCGTTTTACCTAGTAGTGTAACTTTGCACACAGCTGTATCCCTTCTGATACAGTATATTTTTTGTCATTGTATGGATGGAAATTTTCAATACCAATTTACTTCTGAAGTTTTCCAATAACTAGAATTAACAAATTCAACACCAAACAGTCCTATAGTAGGAGACTTTCACAGTGAAAGTAAAATTCAACATTGTCAAAACAGTTTCACAAATATGCTCCAATAATACTACATCATACTTATTCAAGCAAACGGAGTATCATCATTTGTGTACAATTCAAATGCATGCTACTACTATTTCACCTTGGTGTTGTGGAAGATGAGATAAACAAACTTTAATAAGTCTCTGAAAATATTACAACCACAGAGATCTTAATAGAGTAAAATCAGTGATAAAATACAGACAGTGACAGTACACTTCCCTTGTTATATACCAATTTCATTTATTGGACATACAGTGCTTTGTGAAATATGCTTTAGTATATGTCACACAACATAACTGTTAAGTCGTAACCAATGCTACGTCCAGTGACCTTCATGGTTAATTCCAATTTTATTCTACAGTCGTCAGCAGAGCAGCTAATTTTTTTCATAGCTATCTCATGTATTCTCATATACAAATGATAAACATCAAAATTCATATTGCATTGAATGCGATATATTACGGACGCCTTTTTGCTTACAAATCAGATTTAAGGTAATAACATGTTTTCAGATTCTTGATAATTTTCTCCCTAAAATAACAACAACGGACCTATTTCTCAAACTATTCTCTCATGTTTTTATGAAGACAATTGAGTTTTCATTGTAAATAAATAACTCTTGATGGACATTAACAGGGAGTAATTTCTATTATCTATACAAAATACAGTATGGAAGATAATTATAACAGTGGTCTATACGTGATGTCCTCAAATTGCCTTATATTGTCAATTTCGTTTAATTTTTAAGTAACTTTAATTACTTGTATATGCAGAAAATTATTTTGAAGAATAATTTCATTTCTGTCCATTGATACATATGTTTTAAGGTAAACAAATGTGAATTCCTGACTCATAACATTTACTCAATATTAATCCTAAACAGTTAAATAACTTATCATGATTTATTTGATTATAATTTTCAACTAATTCCAACACCAGCAAACTGGTATTTGTGGTATAAACATGATATTTAACTCCATGACAAAGGTCAGTCCAGTATGACCTAATGAATGACGCTGTATTACTGACTAAGTATTTCAACTAACCTTTTGGAGGAAAATAGGATTTGCTCTCTGCCTTATGGGGCCAGTCAACAACCAGGGCACCAAATCTTCTAAAAGCTGCAGTTATTTCCTCTGAAATACATATATAAAAACAACTTTGAGTGATATACTAAGCAATACATGTCTATATTTCATATACAAACATAATTGCTGTACTGTAGGTCCATTATAGCATTTTGGAAATATACATTTTTTCCACAAAATTTACTTATACAAAATTCACTTTATCACTTTTCATCACTTTCAGCTTCATGTGATCAACCATTCATAGCTTTAGTCCAGAAAGAAAAGACAATGGTTCAAATTTCTGAAACAAATCCTGGTCAAAATTAGTAAAATCCTAACTAAAACTTTGAGAAGAGGGAAGTGAATTACAACTTCACTGCCCTGCAATATGCCCACAACTTCAAGTCTAAAATATTCAGTTGTCCCATGGGCTTATGGCAGGATAACATGTTAGGGTATAACACAAGTTATGCTGAATAAACCAATTTAATGTAGTATAAAACTGACTTTTGGCCAAAATCAGAGATCAGAGATAGTGACAAAGCACACAATACTTAAATAATGTACATGTACATAAACACAAATGATTAGGCATCCTGTGTGAAAACATCATGTGGGATAACTCTATCCAACATGGGTGCACTTAGTGACCTTTACTACTATTACACAACATTACAATGTCATAATGGAAAGCCTGTCAAAACATTGCATGCCTGCTCATGATGATCTTGGAAACGACAACTAACTCCATCTCATAAACAAAATATTAATACACCTGTTTGCTATGAAGAAATTGAAGAGAGAGAAGAAAAATAGTCCACCATATGTGGGTATGAAATGTGACAAAGCCTCAGTTCAGACCAAAGTACCTGACCCTTGGGTAGAATTTCCTGATTCCAAATGCCTATACATGGTTAACTTTACTAATAAACATTAACATAACATACAAGGAAGCTTAATATGCAATGTTTCTAGGACTATAAACCTCGCAGTTTGACCTAGTGTGAAATACAACGATAACTATGTATAGTAAATTTTCCTCGTAAGAAATGATTGACACTCCAGAGTGAAATTGTTGGGGTATGTTCTTCACACTCAACCTAGTATTATTGTAGTTAATAACCCTTGTCATAATGATATGTTAACATGTTGGACGTGAGTTATTTCAACATAAATCCCACAATTATTACTTGCTACAATAGTATACACATAACATCACAGCGGTTTTACATGTGTACAGTTGAAGTCTTTCACACATTTAATACATTTAAAGTTTGTGCATATTTTCCCCTACTTCACTTAGCTTGAAATCAGTTCCTCACTCAATCATAGGATCTAGAAGATAGGTATGTGTGTTTCCTCTAATTTCAAATAGTTTTTCATAAGATGTAAATATAGGGAAGTAGAGAAGCAAATTTGCCTTTATAAGTCCTTCCAAGCAAAATATATTTCTGTTTGTTTGGATTTTTTTTCATTGATCTGTTGCATAATACAACAGTTTCTTTAATGCTTTCTATTTTTTTCATTTGCTTAAAATACTCTATGTTTATTCTAAAAAGTAATATTACTGCCTCTAAGTATACTCATCAGAAATTCTTTACCTTCATCAATGTCAGGTGGTAGACCCCCAACAAAGACTTTCCTTGAGAATCTCTCTATACGTTCTCCCTGGGAGCCAGGAGAGCCTTGGGACCCCCCATGAAATGACCCTCCAGACTGGTCTAAACTGTCCTCATCTAGTCCTTCTCCAAATCCAAAAGTAGGTTTTCCTAAAAAAAAAAAGCAGACAACTAATGTATCTACTAAATCATATTTCACTTGGTGTATAGATGTATACAAAGTTCAAATTCTTCCAATACCAAATCATTATTGTAAGTGTTTAAATCAAGTAAAATGTGTAATTGTACTTTTAAACATCTCATTAGCATTTTAATCTTTGATATCTATATATTTCATCTGATAATAATTACAAATTAAAGGATAGGGACTCGTCCAAGTGACAGATAACATTGACAAGAAGATATGGGCAGTATGTCTAATGAGAGCTAGGAAGTATTAGGCTTTCAGACTACAGGTACATTAACTTTAATTTACAAACCTTTGAGGGTTTCATTAGGATCTCCAGTAGACCTCATGATATCTAGTAGCTGGGTCTCGAATGATGAAAATCTCATGCTATCATAAGAACCACTCCGATCCTAGAAAAAAAATACATAAGTAAAATCAATAGCACATGAGAGGACACTTGGGATTCTCTGATAATACTAGAACCCTGGAATCATGAAGGGAAAGTCATTTCAAGGAGAGTCAAAGAAAATAATAGCTGTAATTCTGCAGCTCCACAACCTCTGCATGCAGATCAATAGTGAGCATCCATCTCTTTATTTTGGTTATCTTGTTTTGACACTGTTAAACATATGAAGCCAGAATTAGAACAGTTAAATGGAGATTGTTTTCCTTTAGAATTATTCGGTGTTCCTGTGCCCAATTATAGCAAATCATAATGACGTACAAGGCATATAAGGAAAAATCCTTTCATATCTGCCATAAATAATGTATGCATAGCATTAATAAATGTTTATGGTCTGATCCTTGTATCAATGTTTAATTTGGAATAGGAATATATCCAGTCTTGATTTTCATTACTGAGTAGTTAACAGCTTTATTACATTGAAGATCCCCAAAACTCAAAGGAACATGTACATGTATGTATATGTTTCATTTACTTGAAAGACCTTACCATGTAACAGCTGTTGCTCTCACTAATTATCTGGCTTGTATTTTCAATGCTTGCCTATTTTTGTATCAGACTAATTAGCAACTTATCTTCTTCAACTAAAGATTTGTTTAATGTGACATTTCTAAAGTTATAGATATGTAGGTGGTTCATCTTACATGTTTCTTTGACTCTCATATCTTTTAACAAAATGGATATATTGTTTAATATGTATATGAAATTATTTGTGCACACATTGTTGCAAAAAAAATATACTATTGACCTAAATAAGTAACAGTACATTATTATATACACAGTTTACAATAATTGTAGTTAGTGATATATCATAATGTTTTATATTTTTGTACAGATAATAGTGTATATATTTTACAGACATGCACAGGTCATTTTACCATCAACTGTTATCAGTTGAACTATCAAGTACACATATTTAATGTTATCGATGCACAAACAAATAATGTGCGAGGTTTTGTGGGAGTAAAGGAATGAATTAATTCTAATTGAAAGAATCAATTTTAACAGACTTGTTCTCCTTTTTATCTTATATTTTGCCAACCTTAAGTAGATTAAACATTACTGTGAAATCCAGCATTTTAGCACTTACTTCCTTCTCATCATGATAAAGGAAACTAAATACTGAACCTACCCATAATCATGGAAGTTCCTGATCTACATCATTTTGCATATCAATAACAAGTTTGATTGTTGTTAAAATTTAATGTCTGCATTTGTTCAGTCATCGAATTACTTTTGTAATTGTGAATTATATATCAACTAATTAAAGTTACATCAAATAAGATAATCTTAATATAATATTCTACTGATGAAATTACAACCCTAACTGTGATGCAATTGAACAATGCCTGATTCAAAATTGCTATTAAATCAAAGTTGAAGTTTTTTTTAAGTTTTCCCCATCCTAGATATGTTTTTAAAATACTCCCCCCACAGATTTCTTATAAGTGTTGGTGCAACAGAAAACACTCTCTCTGAAAATTCCATTCCACAAATGACTTCTGGGATGGAACCAAGATTCTATGTGTGGAATGCTAAGTGATAACTGTGTGCCATACTTAGCTATATTAGATCATGTGCTGATGAAATCTCCTTAAATTTCAACAGCAGTTCGAAAATTTGCACATTAATATATGCATTTATACAAGTATAACTTACTTTCCACTTCATTTCACTTCTATTTATAGGTACAACTCCTGAAAATGTCTTCTTTTTTTTATTTCTTTGGAAAACAATGAATTAGTAACACATGATAAAGGATAAACACCATAATCATGGTCATGTAAATTCTTGTTGTTATCTCATAATGATACCTCTGGGATAGTTCTGAGACCTTAGTATGAGAGGATTTCAAGATTTTGGAAAAGTTATTAGGAATTTACTTCATTATAATGCACATTCCAAGATTTCAATTAAAATTTTCAGCAAACCATGGGTAAAAATCCACAAATTTCACCTCAGAGTGATCCAGAATATCCCTATCCTGAAAAACATGATTATCAGTTCATGGATTCAGATCATATGATGGGGAAAAAAATGATAATTCTTGTTTTTCAGTTGTTGCTTCATACAATTGTATACAGAATTTCATATTTAAAACTTCTGTTCTGATCTCTTGCCTTACTTGTATATATACAAGTAATAAATTCATACCACTGCTTATTAACACTAGTCTTGTTTGCATGTTTATTTTTGAATCCATGTCCGATTACTGTAAACAAACCTTTAAATACTATAAAGGAAACTTTATCTTTACTGTACATGGCATGTCTTACCAGATCATTTAAACAGTATAATAATCTGTATACGTTCCATTTAATTTCAGCAGGTATGTACAACACACAGGTAATTTATTCCTAGTCAATACAATGGATGATTATTATACACTTTCCGATAACACAAATTGATATTGGGAGTTTAATAAGCAGCACCACAAAGACCTTGTTATGCCTTTCACAACCAGTCCCGTGCAGATAAGAAATCCTAGTATACAAGGAATTCCTGTTTTCCATATATTTCTAGTTCACCAATCCTCCAAAACAACATACTTGTTTCTGTGCCAACACAAAATTTCATCCCACAGTGCACAAATAAAAGGAAACACTTGAATCCGGAGCTGCTTGTAATATGCATTAAATTACATCTTCACTATACATTTACTTCACATCTATTATTTTTACAAGTAACATATGTTGAAACCTGTTGCCAATTTTTCTAAGTGTGTTAAATAGTCATCAGTGTTATGCATCTAGCTCCATATGTACACATATAAACATTCACTTGAAGTTTACAATACAGTACCAAGATACTATTTTATTTCAAAGTGAAAAAAAGTAAACTTGTAAAACATCTAAAGGACATAACAAGATATGGAAATATTTATTATGTCCACAAATTGTATGCATCATTTACAATTAAGAATGCTGTGTCGTTTACAACAAATAATGCTGTGTTGTTTACAATTAAGAATGCTGTGTTGTTTACAATTAAGAATGCTGTGTCGTTTACGATTAAGAATGCTGTGTCATTTACGATTAAGAATGCTGTGTCGTTTGCAATTAAGAATGTGTTGTTGTGAAATGTTTTATCATCTCCTTGCTAAAAAATCATTTAGAGCAAAAAAGCTGTCACCATTAGAAGTAATCTTTCAGCTCACTTTGCAATATTAAAAAAATTTACAAATTTATCTTGCATGTAAACATGCACACAAATACAATTTATGTACTTTTAATACAAGGAACTTTTATAATTGATCTGTGCATGCATGTTATTAATGATAGTTTATCATTTATGTTAGTCTAAATGTTGAAAAGTTTTCAGACCTGCTTTAATTGTGTAACCTATGGCATGTTGAAACACCAAGCAGCTACAACATTTCATAATAAAATTGTCCAGATGATATACTAGGCAGGTATACTACACATTAAATGGAGATAAATTATATCCAAAGAAAGTATACACTTGTCTATTATTCCGATCTTTAGTAAAACTAAATGCTTTCAAGATTCTAAGTGCATCAATCATAACTCCACTTCGGCACTAATGGGATAGCATTGTATCATTACTTCTGGCATCTGGTTAGAATCTACAAGCTAGTTATTAATGAACACAAGCAGGTTTCAACTTGAGGATATATGAATATGTATCCCAGGCAGTAGACTAATAGGACAAAGAATGTGGCAAAGGTTCTGGCCCACAACAAAAACTGTATCAATTTTGTTTAACATTATGTCATTATACAATTATCATTCACACTAAATACATTTACAGAAGTGTCTATTTATATATATAGTTTGTTACTGTCAAATTCATAAACAAATAATTTTTATTCAAATCTCAACAAAACATTCCTTCTTTCACCCACAGTATGCTACAAAAGAGCCAAGTAAAAGAAATAAAATCTTTTTTACAGAAAGTTTGATTAAATTCTTCAGACAAGTAGTGTCACAATATATTAGTATATTGGTTTTCATAATGATCAGCTACTAATTTCATACCCTACGTATGGAGATACAGACTGGTTATCTGTCATTGGAAATCCAACTTATGGTACTAGTGTAGGTATAAAATCAAATGTGCAATGTTTTCCTGGTAAGTAAAGTGCTTTGTATTTCAACTATACAACAAAAGTGTAAATTCACTGTACTCAAGTTGGGCCAACCCAGTGATTGATTATAGTTGACAACTCATCAAATGTGAAAAAAGAGTTCACAATCAATAATGAAATTTTCAAAATACTAATTACAGATTTTGAAATTTTTCATCAACTTTATATGTTTTCCTGAAAAGTCTTCCATATTGTTTTATCAGAGTTACCCTTAAAGCTTTCAACAAATTCTTTTGTGGTCAAACATCTAACTTATTCCAATATACTTTTTTGACAAAAAAAAAAGATGAAAACATTGATATGATCTGTCAAATATTAATGAATAGTAATAAGAAAACATGAATAAACAGACATTACATTTTAGAATCATTACTAAATTAGTCTGTGTGACAGTAAGCCAAACATTTGTCATGTGGTGGAATCATTAGATATAATCTATTCAATATCTTGAAAATCATTCCTAGCACTGAACTATCATGTTGTACTTGTTCATTGAAGACAAGCTTTAAAGAAATCAGTTGAAAAAAAACCAAACAACAAGACAGTACCAATTTCAACACATATAATCACAATCCAAATTCAATAAAACAAGATGAAAAAAAAAGATCTACACTGAATGTTCTGAAAATATACAAGGAAAGGAGAACAAGACCAGGTGCTCCAGAAGAGTAAGCATTTTCCGCTGTCATTTATGACACCCACCACGTAAATCTTAGTCAATCCAAATGAATATCTAAGGTATATAAACAAATCATTTGCATTATCAAGGTGATCTACGATAAATTGATTCTGGTTTTGTAAGAAATTTTATTTAACCAAACATGATGTATCAACCGATTCTCAACACTACTTGACTCCCAATCAGAGGCAGAGCAATTCAAAATGGCTGATCTGCAAATTGCTAGAAGAAACTTACGCAAACTAGGCATATCGTATCATGATGGAAGTTCATGACACATAACCCTGTGGCTGTGTTTTACCCAGCATATCCCTTTAGTCTTGCCATGATAATTCTAATCAAAACAACTATACACTTATAAAATGCTTAAATGAACCAGTTCATTAGAAGTGTATCATGGATAAAATTTGGTTATAACCGAATATAAGCCATGTTTCAATCCGTTTAAAGATGTCAAATGTATTTTATGTCCAAGTCCAAAGTAAAATAACCCTTGTATGTTATTGTTTTATGCTCTGGGGTAACTTTTCAGGGCTAGAAACATTTATTGTTTCAACTCCAGACTCTAAACACTGCTACATGTAGTTGCCAGTTTGCAACAAACAAAATTTTAAAAGATGAGACGGGGTGGAAATATATATTTGCTAAAGATTACCCATAACACTGGTCAATATTATCAAATTTTATACTTATATTAATAGAAGGAATTGGATTTTTCCTATAAAAACTGAAGGTGTAACAATGATTACCCTGTTTTAAGCCATGTGTAGTATTATTAGCCATGTCAGTATCAGAACATGTACCTGCACTTTTAATTCCATACATCAGTAATTTCCTAGCTTTGATATGGATTGGTACTTGTATGTATCTCGCCATCCTTTATTTTCATGGACTATGTTGATTACAATTGCATCTGTCACATAATCAATTTAACCTACAACAGCTTGTGTAGGTGGCAATCACACTCCTGTATCAGAAATCCCTGTGTCAGTTGCATCTGTGGACCCACATGAATTATTGATTTGGTTGTATTGAGAGAGACTGGTCATTGTTGTGATACTAGCCTCTACCGGACAATGACCTTTGTTTCCATTGCCCCAATGAAAAGCTAACCCGATAATGACATACATTAAAGGATAACAAAAATAGAGCAAAATATTATTCGATTCACTACCTTGTTCTGACGATTTCCATATGGAAGTGATCATGACACTCCTATTCAAAATCAAAACCCCAAGGGAATATGTCAGAAATTCTGGTTAAATGAAAACTAATTTCTATCTATGAAGGTAATGTTACTGGAAAAGTTTATAATTTTTATTGTTCAATTAATAACACCATTTTTAAATGGATAAGAACAAGCATTTTCACTGTATGTAGTAATATACTCTAATAGTGTATAGGCACAGCCATGATATGTATCTATTGATGCGGTTGGACCTAACCAGAACGATGGCATGCTTGGAATGTTCATAAGGTTACCACTGCATCTCTGCATATGGAACAAATTTATACAGCTGCATAACGAATGAATATACATGTGCAATTGCTGTCAAATTCAAGATCCATAAATATTAACATGGGTTACATACCTGATAGGTTAGAACTGCATCTCTTTGGGAGTCATCAAGGCTATGTAAGTCGAGATTTGGTTTAAGCAGGGCAGTCTGGTGCATCTGTCCTGGGAAAGATGTACTTCGACGAAACTTGGACGGTGATATCAATGGTGTAGACTGACCAACACGATGGTACTGGTTGTTAATACTGGGTTTCTTTAAAACTGGATTCATACTGGGCATAGATCTTCTTTGCTGTGGTACATTTGCCCATCCCGTAGAGAACGATTGTGTTTGTTGTGACCATGATGCTGGCTGGGGGGCGTTACTCCAGTTAGGATAGGATTTAGAATTGTTATTCATCATCATACCCTGTCGTTGTGGAAAGTTGTGATGTGCTGTTATCGCCCTTCGTGGGGGTGGCTGTTGCTGAGGGGGAACGTTCATCCCCATATGGGATGCCAGTGCAGCATTAAACATGTTATTTGCTGTAGGAGGAAACTGTTGGAATGCAACAGTACCATTAACAGAAGGGAATCCTTGGACGAAACTGTCATCTGTTGCTGCGTTTGACCAAAATGCCGGAGCGGCAGACGACATTGAGATGACAGCTGTTGTCGTACCGTTAGTGACCTCGCCAGCATTCATGGAACTTGTACTCACATTTCCGAGTAAATCAGGCCGTCTATCATCCAACTGCGCATTAGTGTCAATTTTCCCGTTCTTAGCAAAGTTCTCGCCATTTTGATCAGTTCCATTTTCAGAATTCACTTGGAGTTGCTGCGTCTGTTTACTGGTCGATTTTTCGAGTAAAATGTCATCTTGCATGGTACGAGTTGGCGATGTATCGGATGTAAATATACCTTTGCTCTGTAAAATATGTTTGCTATTCAAAGACGTTAAACCTCCAATATTGGCGGATACAGCTATTCCGTAATCCCCCATCAGAGAGAAATGGTTCCAGCTGAATATTGGGGGTGTTTCACCGTGTTCTCTCGATCTCCTGCGCCACGTCTGCTATCGATGTTACTGCACTGCACAACTGCGTTTACTTTCCCAGTGCTCCATTTCCGTTATGGCGAAGAAGTTTCGAGATCACCATATGCAAATTACCTCTGCTAAGAATACCTTTTATTTCATACTTTCAATCAAGAAATTGAATGAAGAAATGCAGCATATTTTATTCTCAATAAATTTGTCATTTTTCTACCAACACATGATGTTTATTTTTTTGTTTTAATATTATTTCTTGTCTTGGGGATCTCGAAACTAAATTTTCTCTATACAGCTGTGGGGCCGAAAAGGGGCGGAGTCAGATCACCCATGCGGTGAAACGTCAAAGTCTCATTTGTTGCTGATAGATTGATCGCACGAGATCGATCAGATGCTCACATGTGATTAGTCGTTCAACACACACCGTTATGTGCTGAACACGTGGATGGACCATCGGAAAATAATATCCAACATTCGTGAAGAAAAGTAAATTATGAAAAACGCATGTAAGCTTATGAATATTTTTGTGTTTGTTTGTGTGTGTGTGTGTTGTGTGTGTGTGTGTGTGTGTGTGTGAATGACAGAACGCGGGAATACATGCGATTGATCTGATCGTGGACTCCTAAGAAAAAGAAATTTTGACGGCATTTTCTGGTATTTTTATCGTAGATATCGGGAAAGAGGAGTGCATGTCACGCTATTGTTATCTCAGTTTTATCGTGGTAAATGTAGATATGAAGAACAAGATATTAAATTGTCGTTCGATTAATCTAAATCTTAATTGTAAACGAGTGAAAAAGCTTATCGCATGGACCATATCATATATATTTCTAACATTGTGAATTATCATTACTTGAAGTACGCATAAGAAATACATAGCATTTATGCCGAGAAATTTCTTGAAAAGAATAGTACCATGAACTTAGATATGTGATCTTTAAGTTCGTGATTGGACTACCTATTTAACTAGTTGTGTTGTTTCATCGTTTCCCACACTTTCCCCATTTATTGAAATATTATGAATGTAAGCCAACTTGCATTAAATCAGCCTATGGGAAAAGCTTTTATACTGCCCGTGTAGATTTATATTCTGCATCTTTGATGACGAATTCGTCTATAAATGATTTGCACGTTCAATATGTATTTCGTGAACGTGTTTTATTTAATCATAGACAAACACCATTTTGAAATGATTCCCTGTCATTCTAGAGGTGTTTCTGAATTGTAACAAGTACTTACTTTAGAAATCTGAAGTAAGATATCTTTATTAACTTATTTTCTTCGCAATTTTCATCTCTATTCTAGTTCTTTTACGTGAGTAGTATGACCAATTCGTATTATAATACCCCTTTCGCCATTATTGCAGGGAGAGTTGCGGTATAAATACGTTATCTATAATGATAGTTCTTTAATATGCTATCTACATCGTACAAAAGATTGACCTCCCGAACAGTCATTCTCGGTCGCCATTAGTTTACATAGTCTAGGCAGAATTGCCAACCTGCACTGTCCATGTATTATAGTGACATAATACATGGACTATATTTTTCTAAATCAGTGGAAATACATTATATATGGGCCGTGGGTTAGGAATTCGAACCAGGTTCCTGAGGTCAAGCTTGTCGCAGTGTGAGATAAAGGACAGTAACTCTGGGAGATCAGAATGATTGACAGACCGTTGTAATTTACACTCTTTTTTTTATAAATCTCAAATACACACATACATACATAAGTCACAGTCGTTTGAGATTTTTTATATGAAATATGAAAAATAATAAACCAGAATATAATAGCGCTATTTCAGATAGTAATGAAGTATGTTTATAACGGGGCCCAAATTAGGTTTTTAATTCTTATACAAAAAGTCTATCGTTAAAATATAAGTAAATTGTTTAATATCGCTCGTGTTCTTTGAAACGGTATTTCTTTCGAGCATGAAATTTAAGTCTTTTGACTTTTTAGGTGATAAATTTTCTTCGTTAAGGAGCGGATCCTCAACAACGCGTTTTCCATAATTTATCACAAATGTCTTATGTAATGATTAAAAAATACTCATATTATGCTACATAAACCATTTTGGTTTTTTTCTTGATATATATATACATATATGCATTGGGCTCAAGTTATGGAACACATAAGTTTCGTTGAAGTAAGTAACAAGCGGATGTATCGTCAGCGATATTTTTAGAAGTAGGATTTAACACTTGAAAGGCTTTCATAATGTCTATTGTTACGAGTTTCATAAATCACAAATATTAAATGGAAACGAAATTCATTGCACATTAGGCAAACAATATAGTATTTTCATGACAAACGAAATCATTTTGGCTCTATATCTACGATTTCTATTTTGATGTCACAACGCAATCTGTGAATTTGTGATGTCATTTTATTATCTAAAGTGACGTTATAATAAGATATTACACATCTGTAATACGCAGAAATATTACATTGTTATATTCGCTGAATAAGAAGGCATTCACGTGATAAATGTATACATTTGATTGAATTTATGATTTATACTTAGTCAAGCTAAATATAGCACAAACTATGATGAAATATGTCTCTAATCTTTATGTATCTCTTATTTTAATGTGTACTCATGTGAGTATTGCTAATGTATAAGTGTATATTCTGTTTTCCGGGAAAGGTCACTCATAGGTTGGTAAAACTTACTGACCAATCCTTTTGAGATCTAATAAGACAATGAAACATGTTTAATTTAATTCAATTAATGGCGCATTGCACAATCCTTTTCATATAAATGTATTCTAATGCAGCTGAAAAATAATACCAGAAGCAGAGTATGTTGGAGAGATTCAAGATGTCATTAACGAATATTCAAAGGGTAAAATCCAGCCAAAATGTAGTTTGTACAACAAAAGTGCACACGAACCCAATTGCCACTCTTTAAGGTATCAACAATGTTGAACTGCTGTTAAACTTAGTAACATTTTGCCTATAAAGATACATCGTGTATTTTACAAAAACATGGATAAGATAAGAATATGTTTTGTTGATAAAATATGAAACATTTACAGTAACAATGAACTGTGAAATGAAAGTTACTACTAAGTATACTAATACATCATATATGAATAATTTTGTTGTGGTGATGTCGTTACTTAGTGCCGTAGTGCCGATTAGCGTTTATGTCGGGTTGTGAGGTGGAAAGTCAAGTTTCATTCCTTCGTAATTTTGTTCTGGCACAGCGAAAATTCGATTTCCGCCCAGTAATGTAACACATTAATCCTCTCATTATCGCGAATATCACAAAAGTATTACCCGTATAGTTGTTGTTTTTTGCCATTTCGCATTGTCGCGTTGGTTGTGGTGCCAAATAGACAATGGGACAAAAGTACACCACGTTGTCCCACTGTCACGTTTGTCACGACACAAATGCATTCGAGCAAAATGGCCGAAATCAGCCACTATAGATGAGAATTATTTCTATTTGATTTTCGTTCTAAAAATGGAAAATTAATCGACAACTACCATGCCTCTCAACTGGAGTACTTTAGCCATACAAGTTACCAAGTTCGTAGGCATGCGATAGGTAACCTATCTTTTAGCGTCAGCTTTGTCGCTAATGTCACTACGATGGCTTGGCGGTTCTACTTCAATAAGTATACATTATGCACGAGATTGAAATCTCCATCAACAAATGTAATCACCGGTGGCATTTTAAGACGGGGTCACTTTGTATTAGCTGGTAACTAAATCACGGAACATTATGCGGGAGGCACACCGCTTTGTTATTCCCCATTTGAACATTTTCAAACGTCTGTGTCATTTCCTTCTCCATAGAAGAAGACAACATTGTGAGTACAACGTCTGCTCTCCAAGGACTTTGCAACTGGAATAATTTATGTTCAAATACTAAAACTTTTGTTTACAGGTAAAACAGAAGTTTAAAATGTCTTCTGCTTAATCAACTGTTTCCAATTATGTGCAATACTTCATTGACATTCGTTGTGAGATCGTTTCCCTTGGGAAATTATCGAGTCATCCCTTTAAAAAATACTTCGGAAAAGAAAAATGATAGAACCGAGATATTCACAATTTGCAATCAGAATGTCTGTTTTCAGAACAAATGTAAACAATCAACTTTGAAAAGAGCACAACGAATAAAATAATTTCTGCGTTTCCGACATGTTTGTCCATTTCTCAAGTAAAATCAAGATTCAAAAAATGAATGTATCTATGAGAATATCTTGGCCAAATATACTAATGTTTTATAAGACAATAAATAGTGATAGCAACCAAATTAAAGGTAATGTTAGTTTCATGGTTACCTCAGGAGTCAAGTTTATCTTTAGTGTCTCATACTATTCCATATAAGTCAGGTTTGAGTCAAGTCACTTCTCCAGAGCCAAGTCTTGAGTAAACTATTTCTCTCCTCTTATATATTCCAGCTGCTCATTATGTCTTTCCTGCCTTCTCAAACACCACTATGAGTCAAATAACTTTTCTGTCTTTCATGGTCAAGTGATTTCTCTTGTTCAGAGTCAAGCCATAGTTATGTTTTCTGTACACTTCTCTGATTCCACAGTCAAGCTTGTTAATTGGATGTTGATAAGGTGTTTATGAACGAGTAGCCCCTATTTACTCCAAAATTTATGTTGTTTAGCACGTGACTTCAAGCCTCTTTGTACGTACAAAACGACTGAATTTTAAAATTTGCTTTGAGGATTCTTTATTTGTATAAAGTGGGTGTTAGCCCGTTGAATAAAAGATAATTAATAACACGAGTAAGTTCGGGGGCGACTGTTGTCTTCCTTCCAGTGGAATTCTGTATCCTGCATAACAAATGTTCTTGTAGCGAGAAAGGATCCCATGATGTCAAAAATGTCTGCATATTATCAGCTAGCTGAAAAAACAAAAGCAGAATTGAAAAGAATGACCATTTTCGCCGATTTGAGCAGACAGTATGAAAATGAAGATTGTAGGTCAAGTAGATTCTTCTGCCACCGATTTGTAGCCGTTAATTTACAAATAATCGAAAATAATGCTAATGTTGATGATTTACATATAACCGCCTGATAGTAACGAAGCTGTCACTTGATAAGAACATAGGACTTATGTATATATGTATACCAGATGACCGTACACAGCAGTGAAAAGCGCTGAAACCTGCATATCCGTGCGATGTATTCCCAATTATTTCTCTGATTCGATATGATTAATTTGTTGCCCCCATCCTACCACCCACCCCCTACACACACATTTTTTTCGAATAAGCTTTAAGTCAGATAAAACCATATCCAGCAAAAGTATTTTTTATCTATTTAGGTTTGAAATATATGGTTCTGGGTATTGAACTGTGATTTCAAGTACGACTGACCATTGAGAAGGATAGGTGGGACAATAATATCTGATCACAGGGACTTGACACGAGTTCCCAACCCATGGACGACATATTGCATGTATTTCTACCACAGACTATACATATGTTTTGTATATTGACAAGTCCCTGTATGTACGGTGACTACTAATAAAAACTTTGGGCGACATATCATTATATGCACAAACGTGTTCTAGTCTACAGGAATGTCATAATTCATATATGAGAATACTATTGAATTAGTACAGACACGTCTAATACAGTAGAGTAATTTACTTGATACCTGTAAATTGCTCACACGTGGCACAATCTTATGTCAGATACACACAGACGCAGGTGGCATATACTTATGATTAATTTATTAATACGAATTAAATCAGTTCGGAATTCCATAGTTTTCTAAATAATTCAAGGGAAAAACATAAGTGGTCACTCATATGATTTATAACTTTTTGTGGTATTGTGTGTGGAAATGTTTCAATCAAAAACTGAGATTAAACATCTGGGTCACAGAGCTGACCGAAATCTCGGTCTACAAATTACCCGGTATATTTCAGGCTTTCGTCTAGAAAGACAAACAAGTCCAGTTGAAATTCCAAGTAATTCAAATAAACTTAAGAAACATATATATATGGTTATAAACACATGCTGCCGAAATTTGTTAAAATGAACTTTTAACCAATAAAGATAGCATGAATTTCTTGTTATTCCGGTTTCTGTTTGAAGCTTCGGAAACTTTCGGTACTTTCCTTCAACGAGAAAATGTATCATTCCTTTACACGAAAACTTAAGTGCCGAAGCGGTCCCCGTTTATAGTATGCATTTAACAAAACATGACTATCTTGCTTTAATGTGTTTATTGAATTTTCTTTATCCAAGTCCGTGTTATACCACTTAAGTGAACAATGAAACAGGCCGTTTTGCATCTTATTATTCAAATTGCACTGTGTTTGTTTTTGTTTTTGTTTTTTTTTTGGCATTGCCTATTACATGTTTATTTCCACTATATACTTGCCTACTTCATGTAGTAGTACTAATACTTCCACAGAGAGAAGATCATACAAGTGACGTGTGTTAACAGGCTGGGGAGGAAAAGGCTAGTTATTAGATTTTAAAGAACTAATAGAAATGTAACACAAGATGCCTAGTTAAGGAGGCACTTTCACTGGAGAATAGTTCCTGGGAAGAAGCTTTCTTTCCGAGCAATGGTTTTACAGGAAAGAGTTTGGAATGAAATGTGATGACTGTCGTGGAGGTCTGACAGACGGGGTAAGATCACAATAGCATACAGATATATAGGTTGTTGGTTATTTTGTAAGCATGGTGAGACGGACGTCGCGGCGACGAGCTGCCAAACACCGCCTCTGTAGGCCATAGATCTGTGTCGATTAATGACAAACCGGGCAACTCGCCGCTTGACCATCTCAATTTGGTCTATATCCTTATATAGATATAAACTTTATTTATTTTACAACATTGCGAAACAATCTACCAGTTTATATCAATTACTCGTTTTGTTAACCTTACAAAAGTTTTTAAATGTCGATACTGATTTTATTCCTTTACACTATTTCTACTGCAGAAGCAGACACGGTCAGGTCCAACCGATGCGGATGAATTTTAAGATGAACTGAGGATGAACTGTAGCTCCCTAAGCAGTCACATGTACTTACAAAACTTAATTGACAGCCATATGTGTTCGGGTAATCGGTCTGCTGAAACTTCCGAACATTTCCTCCTCCTAACTACCACCAGCTATGAAATGAATGTTTTAGAAACCTTCCTTCTAAATATAATGTCAGTACCTTACTACATGGTAGTCGGGACATGCCAGTTCTGTATGATAAGACTATGTTTGATTGTGTACAAAACGTTTTCAGTCAATCGACACGTTTCTAATTAAACTACCTCCTTTAAACTTGGAATACTGTTTATTGTTGTGGTATTTATGATATTGTTCTACATATTGCATCAATGTAAAAACTCATATCTATAGCTCTGTTGTGTCCACAACACGTGTAGCCGAAATGTCATGCAATCAACCTATGTGAAACTAAAAAATCGTGTCTTTACTGTGGAAGGAAACGAGAGTAACCGAGGAAAATCTGTCTGCGGTATGGATCCCACATCACACAAGCATACACAAGTTTAGGCCTCACTAGAGGTTTAAGTCTTTTTCCTTGAACTGTGAAGAGAAATTTTCGTCTAAGAAAACTAAAGGAACTGTTGGCATCAATAATACCGACTAAACGGGAATAGAAAGTGACTTATCTTATCCGAAAAGCCTTACCAAAATTAATTTATAAGACATCAGTATGTTTGCCAGGGTCGATATTTTAAAGATACTTTTTCAATAAATGCCAGTGATTGGGGACCACAAGATCTTCTATGACGAAAGTCATGCTGATAACATAAGATACTGTGTTGATCAGCATGCTTTATAATTATCGACACCACGACATGTATTAGAATTATAATGTACTTATATATGTCTTGACTGATAAAGGTTCAGCAGTATGTAAGAGATGACACCACAACATCACTTATACTTCATCTTCATCTATTTGCTGTACGACACCGAAAATTGGTCAATTTGTCGATTTTCAGGAGCCAGAGAGACACACAGAGAGAGACAGATAGAGAGGTTGTTAACTGAACATATCGTGTATACTAATCAGTATCATTATTTATTTTATGTGTCTTCGTTCTGCCCCTTCAGTAAATAGCATATTTAGACCGGAAATATTTTCAGTTGTCTTTGAATCGTGTCAGTTGTTACAGTCGATAAAGGACTTGTCCCCATATAGTGAGTATAACGATAACAATGAACGCTCCCTCACTCACAACGAGGCATACTTCCGGTTTTAAAAGGAAAGGTTTTCGATGATATGTGATTATGTCACAGTGTCATACGGTTACAGATAAATATATCATATAAATAGAATTTCAGCTTCGATATATTTATCAGTGGCAGGTTTAGGAGTTTTGGTGAGATTTTCGATGTAGGACGAAAAAGAAGTGTTACAGTATTGAGGAAGAATTTCATCCCGTCGAACGTTTCCAAAATGAACACTATTTCTTCTTCAGATGTTTTGATTAATGGCTGATAAGTAAAGCACACAGATGTAAACACAGATTAATCTTTGTATGTCATTAAGATGAAATAACTGTTTCCAGAAGATTCGGAAAACCTTACGAACGTTGACGTTGGACTCGATCAGATACGCCTGTGACTCGATCGAGGTTACCAGCCTAACTATGGTGGAGGAGGATAGGTAAATGTCATTTCATATCTAAACTTGATGAAATCGTCGTAACAGTCACATACATATCAGAGATAATACAACCATGGCCAGTTCAGGATAATATTTTCGGAAAAGATACATTTGAGGCTTGATAATGTAATTTAATGAAATCTGGAATGTGTACTTTCACTTTCATATATTTTCTCAACAGGGGCGAATATTTTTGTTTCTGCATGTAAGACACACAAGGCCCCTATAGAGACAGCATAATCAGTCAATGGCTGTTAGTTGCAACTTATTTCCAATGAATCATTTCTTAACTTGAAAATAGAATCTATTTTATATTTAACATTGAATTTCAACAACATGAATGGCTACCTTGACTGATTACTGAGTTTTAATTTGATTTATAATGTCCCTGAAGCAGTGTGAACCATAAAGGTAAACTACAAAAGTCTTCAACACTCACGCATCCAAGCAGCCTTAACAGATCTCATTCTTGGGATGGTGTTTATTGTTTAGATAGAGGTCCCAGTGAACCCATGAATTCTGACACATCTGCAATACAAATATTTCAAAACATACTATACGAGTAGAAACATTATAATTTTCTTTATATTTGTAACACAAGTGTTTTGAAATGACATTAAAGTTTATGTACATGCACAATGCATCTGAGTAAAAGCAGATGGGGGCCCTGTGTTGGTCTGATTGCCCTCTCAAGTGGAATACATGACTAGGACAAGAGGAGTTTATGCTTCTTCATTATATCAACTTATCATTTTCAGTGTTATTATATGCATGATATGATCAGAAAAAAAATCAATTGTTGCAATTTGATTGGTATATCAATAATTACATATGTTGAGGTGTCTATGCAGATGGGTTGACTCTGAAAGAGAATTACATTAAAATTTTGAAAAAGTAAATGGAAACTGATATGTCTAAGTCTGGAATCGACCTATTTTTTAAAATTTCTGTGTGAATTTAAGTTTGTATAAGCATTAATATCCACATGTATTAGTATTCTATCATTACATTTAGAATTGTTTGTATCCATAACATGTTTTTGAATCCTTTCATGGGTATTAATTATCATAATGCTGTCTAATGAATAAAATAAAGTCAAACAAAGTTTTTGATTAAGTACAAGGTTAAATCATTAGTGTCTACATTAAAATTGAAGGTTTTTCAGCAAACCGGTCAAAATTTGTTTAAGAAGTAGCATACATTTTATTACCTGTATATATGGTGTTATAGTGTTTTAAGGCCCTGTGGGTTGGCTGTTTCAGGAAGTCCTGTTGGGTGTGTTTTGCTACAGAGGAGGATGACCGAGATGCAACCTGGGTACAGCCTTGTCGATGCAGGGGAACAACAAAGTGGGTGCATCAGAACTGTCTACAGCGATGGATAGATGAAAAACAGAAAGGCAACAGCACTGCAAAGGTGGCCTGTCCACAGTGCAACACAGAATATGTCATTATATTTCCAAAATTAGGTAAGGGATGTTTTGTCTATTTGTGTGTTCAGTCTATTTTGCTGTGAACAGCCAGGATCAATTTCAGACATTGTTTCATGGTGGAAGCTGGTGACTACCTCACTGAACAGTATATAGAGGTCCTGTCACAGTCTGTCCAAAACATTAAAGGTACAGTTTTTCACCATTCATGTCAAATCAACAGGTCCCTTTCTCACCATCAGTGCATTATACCCACTAATCTCGGATATTCACCAGAGGCTACATAGGCCAATTCTCTAACCTACTGAGTTATAGTGGTCCCTTGTTTTGTCTGATACACTGTACATTTATACATTAACAACACAGAATATGATATTCCCAAGATATTCTGGATACACCGCAGTGGGTCAGTACTAAACAGGGACGAGGAGGGACCACAGAACTCTTACACATCTATGACCAAGTGTCATACAAAGTGCAGCCAAATTGACACTATTTTTGGTTTTAGTGTATACAGGATTATAGCACAGATGAGAAGTTGGTTGATTCCTTACTATTCAGTTCTGGTATGCTTCACACTGGTCATTTGTCTGATGAAGGTGATCTCATGACCATGTAGTCATCAAAATGCACATTCCGATATTCTGCTGGCTATACAATAATAACAACATAGTTTTGTAGAAAAAAAAGAGAGTTGATAATTTTTTATCTAGCTGGTGTTGCTTGTAAACCTGTTGCTTTTTAGCAATTTGTTGTGAATAATTAAATACAGAATGTAGTCAATAATTTTGAACTTTTTTTTTTCAAAATACATATCTCACAATGTACGCAAAATCCTGTCTCTATAAATTGCCTATATTGAGTACAGCTGTCAATTAGTCTAGTCCTGTTGATTATACCACCCAAAAGGGGAACAATTGTTTTGACATTAAATATGTTATCAAGAGACAAGTTCCAGTTAAAGAAAGAACTTTTCTCTTGTAGTCTGGATGAATTAAATGTATGAATTCCCTTTACAGGTCCGATGGTTTATATCATGGATGTTGCTGACAAAATTATCTACAAAATGTGTCCCTTTGTTGCTGGTGGTATATTTATTGGATCAGTATACTGGACAGCAGTGACCTATGGTGCTGTGACTGTGATGCAGGTAAGGTCTGCTGCTTTATCTCTTATAGTCATATGTTTATCTTTTATAGTCATATGGATTTGCTACTTTCCTTATGATGAACCTATTGAGAGTTGGGTTAGGGCAAATAATGACATGTTGACTTGACATGTGTTGGATTTCACCTTTTCTTAGCTGGAACTATTGAGTGCATCTCTCTGCCTCATTCAGACGATTTTTCTCTACCTAGTCATTTGCCTTAGTGACAAAAAAATCCATTGTACATTTGGGATTTCCTTTCAAGATATTTATGTAAAGGATCAGAAAGCAATTGAAACAAAATTATTTTTTTACCCATTTCATTAATTGTACTATTATATATAGTCAGTTATTTTTGCATGAATGATATTTTTGGTATTTCACAGTACATTGATATGATCACAAAAATTTAATCTGTGAAATAATGAGACCTGTGTATTAGATAATCTTTTAAAGCCAGATTGCCATATTCTTTCCTTTGAAATATATTTCATTTGTTTTAAAAGCAAATTGCAAAAATTTTGACCTGTGAAAATAATCAGCTATACAGTATATTAGTTCTAACTATTTTTGTACTTGGGATTACAACATTAAATGTCCTAAGTGTTGTGCACCCATCCTTTGCTAAAGTTAGGGGTTGTTCCTTGACTGAAATGTAAAGTTGGTTCTATCTGTCCTAAAGCCCTTTAGTGGCTTAAGTGTTGAGCACCCATCCTTAGGGTTAGGGGTTGTTATCGGACTGAAACATCTGTCCTGACTTTGATGTTTTGGAATAGATGGTTGGATGAAGGTTTTCATCCATGTCTTGATGCAACTTGTTTCTGTCATGAAGCTAATGTTGCTTTACAGACTGCATGTGGTCTTGATTTATTGACTTTGATATGAATATTTTTTAAAATTCTATTAATAAGTTTTCAGTACCACACAAAGTAAGTAAAATAGAACACAAAGTCAATGAGCAATAGAACATAGGAAAATTTGAACATTTAATTAGAGTAGGGAGGCTTCATGAACAGTAGAAAACAAGAAAACTAGAACACATTTTTTGTGTACAGAAGAACCCAGGGTGGCTTCATTAAAAAGGAGAAAACTAGAGCACATTGTCAGTGGACAGTAGAAGACAGGGAGGATTCATGAACAGTAGAAAGCAAGAAATCTGGAACATGTTAGTGAACAATAGAACACAGGAAGGCTTCATGAACAGTAGAAATCAAGGAAACTGGAGCACATAGTAATTGAATGGTTTATCAAAGGAATGTTTCAGGAAAAGTAGAGGAATACTCTATCATTGATAGTATAGGAACATTCCCTAAACATAAGAACACAGGAATACTCTAGGTCTGTGAATTAAAGAATTACAGAAACAGGTCATGGAAATTAAAACTTGCTGACATTTCATTGTGACCAACAGAACACTGGGGCACTTGCTGAACACTTTCAGAAATTTCCAATGTTGTGTATTAGAGATGAGAATGAGCAATCCTACCATATAGATCTGCCATGCTAACAATACATAGATACAGACTGGTCTCCTAATGGTCTGGCCAAATTTGAACATAAAACCTGATCGTTGATGTGATACGCAGTGACAGAAAGTATCTATTGGCATTTCTCCTTGGAAACACTGGCCCAATCTTGACAGTATCTAATGACCTCTTCATACAATCTTCTCCAAATTAATTAGCAGAAAGAGACTGTTACTGCCTTGGGTATCAAAGGGACACATAAACTGAAAGCAGTTCTCTACCTTTCTACTTTCTCTTTGTATTTACATTACCTGAGGTGTTTGCTGTTATCTTGTTAAGAACATAACAGAATGTATAAAGACCATAAACTATTGACAGTTATCTATTAGCTACTTTCTTTTTCTATTTAATTTGCATGACATATTTGCCATTACCATATCTGAGGTATAAGTGCTGTGGCCATTGAGATCTTCAGTAAACTGTCTCGGCTGGAGGCTTGATGGTTCTATGTGTAAATTGTTATAGATGCTGTCTGAGTGACGATCAGAGCAGGATTTAGTGATCTTGTCTTGGTGTTATTGTTCTGGTCTAATACAATACTTACAAAGAACCCATTGTTTGCTAAAAGCAAAACATATTGACAATGTAGCATATAAATCTTGATGAGTTTCCATTAAAATGAAATTAATGATTTGAGTCTTAGAATACATTTTACCAAATCTCACGCAAGGTAAAACGAAAAAAATTCATGAGAAGTTTCAAAAATCTTGTATGAACTCGAAATGAATGTAAGATTTTGTTCATCACATAACTTACCCTAGTTACATTTGCAAACATTTGTGCAAACAGCACTTTAATCACAGTTATACGAAAATACAATTGGAGATATTCTCGCGCTATATCTGTTTTTTTGGCAATGGATGCTTATGACACAGTTGACCTCACAATGAAAGCAATAAGAACCTTCAGTCTGCCACACCTCCTCTCAATGGAACTCACCAAGAAGATTTTCTTTTTCTTTTCTAAATCTTCCAAAAACGGAATATTATGGAGTCACTTTATTTCTCTTTAATGAATGGTAATTTATTTTACAGTACACTGTAATCTTACAGGGATAGTAAGTCTGAGGGGATTTATGTTACAGTAGACTGTAATCTTACAGGGATAGTAAGTCTGAGGGGATATTTATGTTACAGTAGACTCTAATCTTACAGGGATAGTAAGTCTGAGGGGAGATTTATGTTACAGTAGACTGTAATCTTACAGGGATAGTAAGTCTGAGGGGAGATTTATGTTACAGTAGACTGTAATCTTACAGGGATAGTAAGTCTGAGACTGTAATCTTACAGGGATAGTAAGTCTGATTTATGTTACAGTAGACTGTAATCTTACAGGGATAGTAAGTCTACAGGGATAGTAAGTCTGAGATTTATGTTACAGTAGACTGTAATCTTACAGGGATAGTAAGTCTGAGGGGAGATTTATGTTACAGTAGACTGTAATCTTACAGGGATAGTAAGTCTGACTGTAATCTTACAGGGGGGAGATTTATGTTACAGTAGACTGTAATCTTACAGGGATAGTAAGTCTGAGGGGAGATTTATGTTACAGTAGACTGTAATCTTACAGGGATAGTAAGTCTGAGGGGATTTATGTTACAGTAGACTGTAATCTTACAGGGATAGTAAGTCTGAGGGGAGATTTATGTTACAGTAGACTGTAATCTTACAGGGATAGTAAGTCTGAGGGGATTTATGTTACAGTAGACTGTAATCTTAGGAGTATGTTACTGATCTTACAAGGAGATTTATGTTACAGTAGACTGTAATCTTACAGGGATAGTAAGTCTGAGGGGAGATTTATGTTACAGTAGACTGTAATCTTACAGGGATAGTAAGTCTGAAGGGATATTTATGTTACAGTAGACTGTAATCTTACAGGGATAGTAAGTCTGAGGGGAGATTTATGTTACAGTAGACTGTAATCTTACAGGGATAGTAAGTCTGAGGGGATTTATGTTACAGTAGACTGTTACAGTAGATGTTGTAATCTTACAGGGATAGTAAGTCTGAGGGAGATTTATGTTACAGTAGACTGTAATCTTACAGGGTTAGTAAGTCTGAGGGGAGATTTATGTTACAGTAGACTGTAAATCTTACAGGGATAGTAAGTCTGAGGGGAGATTTATGTTACAGTAGACTGTAATCTTACAGGGATAGTAAGTCTGAGGGGAGATTTATGTTACAGTAGACTGTAATCTTACAGGGATAGTAAGTCTGAGGGGAGATTTATGTTACAGTAGACTGTAATCTTACAGGGATAGTAAGTCTGAGGGGATTTATGTTACAGTAGACTGTAATCTTACAGGGATAGTAAGTCTGAGGGGATTTATGTTACAGTAGACTGTAATCTTACAGGGATAGTAAGTCTGAGGGGAGATTTATGTTACAGTAGACTGTAATCTTACAGGGATAGTAAGTCTGAGTAATCTTACAGGGATAGTAAGTCTGAGGGGAGATTTATGTTACTGTAGACTGTAATATTACAGGGATAGTAAGTCTGAGGGAGTTCTGTTACAGTAGACTGTAATCTTACAGGGATAGTAAGTCTGAGGGGAGATTTATGTTACAGTAGACTGTAATCTTACAGGGATAGTAAGTCTGAGGGGAGATTTATGTTACAGTAGACTGTAATCTTACAGGGATAGTAAGTCTGAGGGGAGATTTATGTTACAGTAGACTGTAATCTTACAGGGATAGTAAGTCTGAGGGGGGTTATGTTACAGTAGACTGTAATCTTACAGGGATAGTAAGTCTGAGGGGAGATTTATGTTACAGTAGACTGTAATCTTACAGGGATAGTAAGTCTGAGGGGAGATTTATGTTACAGTAGACTGTAATCTTACAGGGATAGTAAGTCTGAGGGGAGATTTATGTTACAGTAGACTGTAATCTTACAGGGATAGTAAGTCTGAGGGGAGATTTATGTTACAGTAGACTGTAAGATTAGAGTAATCTTACAGGGATAGTAAGTCTGGGAGATTTATGTTACAGTAGACTGTAATCTTACAGGGATAGTAAGTCTGAGTACAGTAGACTGTAATCTTACAGGGATAGGGAGATTTATGTTACAGTAGACTGTAATCTTACAGGGATAGTAAGTCTGAGGGGAGATTTATGTTACAGTAGACTCTAATCTTACAGGGATAGTAAGTCTGAGGGGATTTATGTTACAGTAGACTGTAATATTACAGGGATAGCAAGTCTGAAGGGGTTTATGTTACAGTAGACTGTAATCTTACAGGGATAGTAAGTCTGAGGGGAGATTTATGTTACAGTAGACTGTAATCTTACAGGGATAGTAAGTCTGAGGGGAGATTTTACAGGGATAGTAAGACTGTAATCTTCAGGGATAGTAAGTCTGAGGGGAGATTTATGTTACAGTAGACTGTAATCTTACAGGGATAGTAAGTCTGAGGGGAGATTTATGTTACAGTAGACTGTAATCTTACAGGGATAGTAAGTCTGAGGGGAGATT